TAAAACGCGAGGACGTAAAAAATGTAATCAATCCTATTTTTAGGGGATTATGATTAAAGCATAAGGTGATTATGCGTAGAGTTGGGAAGTATACTTGTTATTAACTATCAATACTTACTTAAGTAACAGTAACTGTTATATGTGTATAATCATCACCGGCACCTCTAGGTGTGCTAAGCTTCCAGACTCACGAATCGCGCAACGCTCTGTGGCAGCATGCGTCCACGGCTGCATGTATCGCGTGAGCGGGTATAAATACGTATTCTGTAGCGCCCTTAATTTATTTTTTTGTTTTTCCAGTAACCCGAAGGTTGTCTGGAAGTGCTCTGTTGCACGTGTCATTTTTACTTTTTAGTATTATTTTGTATTTGTCCGTATGCAATAAAGAATATTTGTATTGTATTGTTTTTGTTTATCTTCCGGTGCCATTTCCTATTAATAACAATGATATCTTTCTTTGTGTTCGATCTTTGTATTAATAATTATAACGAACTAGTGGAGTAATTTCACAATTACTCCATAATTACTCATAATTGAGTATCATGGTAAAATATCGTGATATTCAATTAATTTAATAATAATACATTTATTAAAGCGCCATCTCTAGTTGGCCGTGTGAAGAAAAACTTTCATAGATTTTTTCGCAAATGGCGCTACAGCAAAAAGTCGTTTAAAACCAAAAACAAAGATCTACAACAGGCACATACAAAAATTGGTAAGGTCTGCTGGTTCGTTATGAACGTCAGCCACGGTTCAACGGTTCAACCGGATCGCTTGATTTTTTTCGTCCATCGATTGTGTTCGATCTTTGTAATAGTCAATGCAATCGTGTTTCCTCAGTTACACCCTTATGCTTTCAACATTGGCAGCTTGTGTTTCATAAAGTGGAGAAAAACTTGTTTATCATCAACCAATAATATTCCGTCATTTTACTTGGCGGATGGGAGCGAAGAATCAACGCCTAGTAATTACTGAGTTCACTGATTTATTAAATTCATATGTGCACGCCCATGTATAGCATACACATAGGTTATTTCAATAGAAACATAACAATTTTGTATTTCAATAAAACACAAATTAATTGAGTATCGAGCTGAAATTCATTCCAGGTGGAGTACACATATTACATTTAAGCATGGAATTCGATCTCGTGTAATATAATTTTTTTATATATAATATCAAGTGACGGGACGAACAAGTCGTAAGCTACATGACTATTCATAACAATTGCAGTGTCCTCTGAGCTTTAAATTGCAAATATATGCCATTGCGCCCGTCACCCTCAGACACAAGTTGACATGTCCCATGTGCCTGTAATTTCATCAATTTCATAATAGATGGCTTAGTATGTCGTATGACCGCCGCGAGCACGTTTGGAGCATTCAATTCTTAGGAGCCAATTTTCCATCACTCTTCCTCACGTCTCGGACGAAATGATAACAAATTCGCGCCTGATGTTGTTCCTGAGCTCATTTAACGTTGTTGGCTTGTTGGCATAAACCAACGACTAACGTAACCACTTAAAAAGTAATCGAAAGGCGTTAGATCGCTTGAGCGAAGTGGCCAATCGACCGGACCATTTTACGAGATTACACGATTATTGAACTTCCTCTGCAATAGATCGATTGTTTGACTAATTGCAAACATGCTCGCGGTGGTCATGTGAATGAGATCTAATTCCACTCTTAAATGTAACACGTGTACTGCACCTGTTATAAATATCAACTTGATATCCCAATTATTCTGTGCTTTATTGAAGTTCAAAAGTGTTATGTCCTTATTGAAAAACCGGATATTAAAAAAACATGTTACACTTAGTTTAGTATGTTGAAGTTCATACGCAACAGTGACGAGGCGTCCATATAACTCGTTTCCCACCGGTTTGCCTAAAATTTTCCACGTTTTAGTAGTAATTCACTAAATTTTGTGTTCAATTTTATGTCTAGACTAAGTTAACCAGTGAAATGAAATGTACTAGTATCTTGTGTGCTAATGTTCGTTTAAGTGTCACCCAGGCGCCACTTTTTGTTAAGGCCGTTTTTTGCCTTTTCTCCGGCTTTACTGACGACAATTTTCACGGGTCGCCACTGATACGCAGATACATTTTTTTATACCTGCACTCAACTGTACTTATATTCACACTCGCATATACACTTACATATCTAGTAGATTATTTTAGATGCGCTATTTATACTTTAATATATAACTATACGTATATTCACTATATTTTTGCTTACAAATAATTTAATCTCTGTCGTTGGTCCTGAATGAAAACCATCGCCATAGGAAACTTTGGCATTTGCAGAGTCGGAGCCCTTTCACTGCTTTGACAAGAATCTTATTTTGCGTTGTGATTTAAAGCTCTGAATGGAACTGCAACGTAATGGACAGGCGTCACCTGATACCATAAAAAAAAAATTATAAAATGTCAAAATAAATAATAATAAATAAAGGCTTCTAGAATAATGACCAATCACACCTGTAATAATTAATCTGGTATATAATTCAGATCGATCGTTTAAAAAATCATAGACGTAGGTATCTGGCGCGCAAGTCGACGAGTCGCTCGGTTTTACTTACCTTACAACAACTAATAATATATAATACTAGTAGATGCTTGTATTAGTTACAAACCTACTCATCTCTACATTCCTACATTCTTATTATACTACAACCCTTTCGTCCACTATTGACATTGTGCGTATAATAATGAGACCAACTTAAGTGAACCGTATGTAAGAAGACAATGCAACGGTCAGGTAAGCAGCTGCTGCAGATTTCTAATTCGACTACATAATAATGTATGACCTTTCACCCCCTTTTCCATTCTTTATTATTATTCTTTTTTTAACATTATTATTTAAAAAGACGAGATCAAAAGTACCTACACGACTGTGTACAACAACCGAAAAAGGATACGTAAGTATTGTTCCATTATTCCAAGTAGATCTCAGTCCCCGCTCTAACAGTTTGAGATTTTTTGCGAAATTTGAATTCATGAAATAATCCAACGGAATGAAGCGAGTGATTGTTCGTAGCAACTGCCTATCCGGATGGGAGATAGACGTTACGAAAAATATATGTCAAATAATGTAAGTACAATAGCGGAAATAGTGGCAACTGGTTCCGAAGGTACACGTCTTTTATGCGTAACAGAAACTACCTTGTACAGTGAAGATATCAAACTTGATATTTTGTACATTGTACGTTCCTATCGTGATATAACGTTGTATTTAAATCTTATCTGTCACAAACTTGACGTACTCTTGACCAAGTAAGTAAGTTGCAACGTACCACAAAGAAAATTTTACATTTTTCTTGCATTGTTTATTACCGGGTGTGCGTCCTATTTATCTCTATTTATTGCAATTTTTTTGTTAGAGTTCAAAAAAAATATTGTCAAAAGTGGACACAAGTTAATAACGTAATTTACAGGCTCTAAAACAGTCACGTTGATGTCATGCCAAACTATACAAAATAATATTATCGAACAAATGCATTTTGTTATTTTGTTAAAGCTTTAAAAATTGTTTCTAATAATGTTTCCAACAGAATCTACATTAGTGATTAGCGCCATCTACTAGCAGACTGTGTAACTACGTTGTAAATGCAATCTGTCGACAATATTGCGTACTAGAACATGCAAAGCATACGCTACGGTATCAAAATAGCAAAGTTTAGAAACCATTTCTGAGAACTATAAACAATGTAAAATGAAGTTACTATATGGTTGTAAGTTTATTACTATGTAAATGCTCAAGCCAAATTATATTGGATTATCATACAATTAATATTAAATATTGCTCATTTAAGTCAAACGCAACAGCGCCACCTATATTTCTATTAAAATACTACATCACCTGAAAGGTTGTCATTTTAGTAATACAAAGTTTCACTAGACGGCGGCTCTATGCAATTATGTTACTAAACCAACTTTTGGAAATTAGTATGGAAACAGTTATGTTAAAAGTAAAGAAATCTTTTAATAAACAAATTATTAAAATTTTAAAATAACCAACCCTAAACTTAAAGATAAATGGCAAACAATATCGGCTTAGTATGTAACCTATTCAATAATGTAACAGACGAATGTACAACAAAAGTGACTAGTTTAAAAGTTTACATAATTTTCAGGATTAGGTTTTTTTAGTAGGTAATAAACACTTGCATTTGTAACTCTCGGTGTTCGATGAGTGTTATACAACTTTATTAAAAATTGAATTGTATTTGTGAAGGCGCGACTTAGGCGTAAATAATAATTTTGTTTAGTAAAAACTCAAATGGAATGCTATTAAACAATAACGTGACAGCCAACATGATCATAGTGTTGCGAAAATAGACATTTTTTCGTTGTTATCATTGACTTACAATTATATGGACGTCGGGTCCGCGCTAAAAAGTGTCCGCACTTGTAAGGCGCTAAAATCGTATACAGAGCGCGACACTCCGCTTTAGTCTTCATTTGTTCTACGGACAGTGCGATACTGCGATGACATAACAATTTAAATTTCGAATAGGTTGACTTGGGACATTTTTTTCGTGGTTTTTGTATTAGACCCGTCGTCCTTTTATTTGTAAGTCAATGGTTGTTATTGATAGTTTTTTTAATATGTAAAATGAAAACTTTTGTTGTTATGCTTGTTGTTGTTGGGAGATTATAGATGTAATAATTCACAACAATTCATCATTCCTGAGGTGACAACAGCATGCTGATGCATCCAATTAATGTATAATCTGAATGAGAAAATTATCCCCTACGCCTGTTACTCGAAAAGATGCTTAAAACAAAATCACACTACCACATGATTGAAAATTTTTTTGGTTGACGTCGTTGTCTAGTTTTGAAAACAATAAGTATTTTTCGCATAATACACGACAAAAGCAAATATTTAGCAGGAACTATAGTTTTTTTTTATTTCGTAGCTCCACGTGAATGACGTTGCAACCAAAACAACTTATTAGCAACTTTATACTATAAGTGGAAGGAACACAATCAAACATTACATTTCGATTAATTCAGCTCTATTATACTGTTTCAATATCGATTCAAAATACTCGTTCTCTTTTTCTAAACCTTTCTCTCCCATGAAATACGGATAAGTATTATATGTTCCTAGATAAAACACTCCTTTCTTACTCTTATCAGTTTTTAAACCTAGTACATTAGTTACAGTAGGTTTTTTATCAAAGCATTTTCGTTCCCTAGCCTGTTGTACTGAATCGCATTGCATTGCGATAAAAGTGTTCGGATATTGTAATGCTGCAACCCAAATGGTATACGATCTTATATGACTACAGAAGATATTGCAGGGTAGCCAGATTATACTGTTAGGTTGGTACTCCCCACCGTTTACATAGAAGTTTATGTGCCCTACTGGAGCAGCCATTCCAAAGCCATCAATATTCGTGTTAACTACATCCACGAAATCTGCATCGCTTTCGTCTAACCTGTCTTCAGGTCCAAGATTCCGGAAACACGGTCCAGAAGGATCTAAACCTGTTAATCTGCTAATGTTCATGCCTGTTTGGAGTTTATAATTCTTGGCAATGAAACTCATGGTCTGTGCTCCTAAACTGAGGCCAATGACCTCGAGTTTCTTAGGATTGAGACCCAATCTTGTTAGATTGGCAAGCATTTCTGCGGCGTGAACGCCGACTGGTCTCATGTAGCGAACAGCTCTGAAATGATACAAAATTTATTGTTAGTGAGTTTGTCGTACAAAAACAGATATAGGCTATCAATTACACCTATGAATCGACTACCATTATCTTGGTACTTATGCGTTTGGTCATAGGACTTTTAACCACAATCATACTTGAGGATAAATATCGTTATTGTCGAGGACGGAACTTGTTTCCCTAGAGGGTGTCGATTGACTCTCACCTTGAAAAGGCCAATTTTATTGCTGTGAACAAATCACACATTAAGATAATAAAGATAACTATAACTAATAAAGAACTTCGAATGTACATCTACAACGTAAGGATGTATTCTCTGCACACAGTACTGCTTGAAAGGGAAAGTTGGAATAAAGGCGAATCATCGGAGGAGAAGCGGGACAAACTGTTTTGCTACTATTAAAAAAACAGTCTTACAAAAAATATATTATGATACACCCAAGGACATTGTCTAAAGAATATATTAATGTGTTCCACAATGGGACGTACGATGATATAAAATCGTGAAATCCCAAAACTAATTATTTGATAATAAAATATCTAATTTTGTACATAATTATCGAGTACTGTTTTCACGATTGTTACACATTGGAAATGAAACTATTTTTCCGGATTTAAATCGCGTATATTTGTTTTTTTTAAATAAACCAACGTTTCGGACCTTTTACACGAAATCCGAAACGTCGGGCAACAACTGGGATTTTTTTATCCCGTTTGCCACCACCTGGTAACATGTAGAATTTCTTTTCTTTGTCGCCAGTGGGAACAAAGCCAGTGGCGACAACTGGGAATAAGCGGAAACGTTGGTTTGTTTGAAAAAAACTAGTATATGCGATAATTAATTAAATCAGGTAAAACAGTTTCATTTCCTATTTGCACATAATTTTTATATGGAGATATTTCCTTTAAGTACTTCATAGAACCTGTTGAATTTGGTTTTCAACTGAAGCCCTATTAGTTCTTAAATTCGCATTTATCTCAAAATTTGCAAATTACCCAGCGGTTTAACGACCCGCCGCGCTGCCCACTGCCCAGTTAGTCGCATTCGGGCGTTTGTCGACGTCGGATCTGTGTCAAATATCTCTATCATATTAATTATTAAACATCGCGCGGATCGAGTGCATTTCGAAGTATGCGCACTGTTCGAAATGCATCCGATAAAATACCGATAAATTGACACCTCTATGAAAATATTATTATCGCATTGCCCATTACTAATACCAAATTTTAAATTACTGAACCTTCGACAGGAAACTACTACAAAAGAAGCAGGGTTAGAAGTGATAATTAATTATTAGTAATTGACAAGTAATAAAAATGTTCATGATAATTCTCTTGATAGTTCGTATTAAAACGTATCAAATGTCAGTCTCAAAAACGCCAAAAAATAACCCGTTTTCCCAAATATTTTCTTCGTGTTTGTTTAGTTTTCTCACGGTTTGTTATTTTTAGTCAAAAACTATGAATCAGCTTGGATAATTATCGCATATATATCGGACAATTATCAGATAATTATCGTGATAATTATCAAAGAAAATCTTTATAATTTCGAACCCTGAAAGGAAGGCAGTAGTTCTCTGTCGAAAGGTGAGGTATGTCTCTTTCACGAAATCAGATTTGCCCGATTTGTTTCGAGAAGATGGCAGGCATTGGCAGCTGTCCTCTATGTACCTCATATTTGTTCTTTGGCGGTAGTTTAAGTACATTAGTAAGAAAACTGTACTCACACAGGATACATCGTTGTAGAAAACATATTAGAATCCAATAAAAGCACATTATATCCTAAATCCTTATAAAGTTTTCCTAGTACTAATGCAAAAGGAAAACTAGGACTGTCCATGAACCCTCCAACATAAAGAAAAGTCTTTTTCTTAAAGTCGATGTCAGGGTCTTTGGCCAGTAGTTTCATCTGGAAGTAATTATATCTAGTCTTTCGAGCTACAAACGGATTTCCAGGGCCTTGCACTGTTAACGAAAGGTGCTTAAGGCTCTTTTTCTTTATTTCTGCTGGTTTTGTTGAGCCAGGACCTGAAAAATCAAAATAACTTAAATTAATTCTTATTATACTAGATTTTTAGATTTTTGTGGTTATTCACTACATTACACCATCCAGTGCATGGAATCCGGTGCTGCATGTAACAATTGTAGTAAAAGCCTCTAACGATCAACGAGTATCTTACGCCGATTGACAAATTCTTTCACCATGATGGCAAGCATTACAGCAGTGAATGTATTAAGGCTGAATACTAGGAATGTGCGATTTCTTGCTCTGAATCGATTTTTTTGGATCGTAATGGATTTTATACCTCCGAATCGATCCACAGATCGATCATTTCGATAAAAACAAATTTTTGACAGCCGTTTTAGCTTCAATCACTTCATTCAAATGACTTCATTTCTCCTTTATTTTTTCCGTCCTCTAAGCTTCATTTAGCCTAGTCCATTGATAAACACATTATTCTAGCCAGTGAGAAAAAACGTTTAAAAAAACGTGTGAAACGTTTTCAAATATTGTATACTTATAACTTACACGTTGCCAAACTGCTTTCTTACAAGCCATTATAAAATAGGGGTTAATCAGAAAGATGCTGTTTTGTTCAAATTATGAATACGATATAGACGATTCGATTCGCCTTAATGTTGAATCGATTTATTTAAAAATCGCATTGACATGAATCGATACAAAAAATTTGATATTTGATATGTAATTTAATGACAACAATATTATACAATGAATTGTTAATTTTCTATTTATTGTGTATTTTCTTATAATTTTCATTTTTGTCTGACAATCTCAATATAATTTCTTATACTTTGTATGATACACATGCAATTTAAACTGTAATGTTAGTTTTGAGAAATAAATGAATTTGAATCAAAAATCTGAATCTGAATCACTTGAATCTCCATAAAAATAGAACCGTCATGTGCATCCCTACTTAATTTAATATTTCTTCGTACGATAATTACAGAAGCCACTTTAAGGCTGACTCACTGCAGTTCCCACTATATACAAGTACGTAAATCAAACAATCGAAGGTTTCGGAAGGAAGTACGTTCGCTCAAATATTTGAACAAGCTTTACCGATAGCCGAATTGTTTCAAGGCTCATTGTATGCAGCATTGGTCATATTGACATTTTGATATGCGCCGTTGATTTTACAATGAACTCAACAAATGACATACGCTTGGAATACACATAATATACGGAACTATTTTATATATTACCAAGAACCATTCATACGATTGAATTATGATGATATATACATAGCAATGTAAGAGGTAATAAAAACTTGTGGCTACACAATTGACCACACAACGGCTGGGTAGTGTAACAACCAGGTAATTAGTTTGATTATATTATAGTGCTTTAAAATCACGCTAAGCTACGTAATGCTTAAGACGAGTCACTGGAGGACATCGAGTTCATAACCAGAAATTGGGACGAAATGTCATTTAATTTGTTTGAAAACTACTCTACCAAATCACAACTACGCTCCTATTGGCCAGCCCGAATTCGAAACAATTAACGGGCGTCGTCAATTGTTTCACTTCAAAGCCACCTGTTTAACTTGAGCTTTGCTATAATGTACGAATCTTGAAAAATTACATATTTAATTACCGACGAATTTTGCTGTTCTTCCCACACCACCGAATGGAACAGCCGCCCATTGTTAGAGATATTATCTTTATTACAATAAATATAAGTACAGAATGTTTTTGGAATATGCGGAGACGTATACGCAGGTCAGTTGTTAGCGCTGTACTATTTCAGCTTTCTAATTTGTGATTTCAGCGCAAACGAGAGTTGATATTTAAAAGTGATATAAGGCCCTTTAGCCCGATGAGTTGCTAGAGATGTATAGCCCTTATTTCGTCTCTATTTCTGGTTATATACTCGATTCCGGAGGAGAAGCGGGCATAGCTGTTTTGCTAGATCGAATGGTTTAGGAATTTACTATTAAATAATGGTCTTACGAAAAATATACGATACACCTAAGGATATTGTCTAAAGAATGTGCTAATGTGTTACACGATAGGATGTACTTTATCCAACCATAAAAAATCCTGAAAACGGGCTAAAGAAAAGTCTAAAACGAGTTATTTAAGAATAAAATATCTAACTATGTCCATAATTATTATATGGAGATATTTCTCTTGAACTACACAAACCTGCTAAAATTTGGTTTTCAACTGAAGCCCTGTTAGTTATTAACACATTTGTCCCGAAATTTGCTAATAATCGGGCGCTTGTCAACGTCGGACCTGTGCGCAATTCTCTCCGCCAGTTCTTAATTTATTCATACTAATTTACAGCGGCACACGATCGGCGACCCCTCACACCTCACCTCCTAAAATCTACGCTCGGGTTGAAATGCCTCATCTTAATAAAAGTATGACTTTTGAACCGGACAAATTTGAAATGATAACATAATTTGAGTTGTTTTTTTCGGGAGTGAATATTATTCGTAAATAAGAAAATAATTGATACAGACTTTGTAAAAACTGCACAGTGTGTACGTAAACAATTTACTGTACAAGGTCAAGAGCATGTCACGCTTGTCACTTAAGACATAAATTCAACTCTATGCCGCTTACGATAACAATGGTCCAAAGTCCGAAGTGTCAAGAATGATGTGCTCTTGAATGTCGGTTATTTTCGATTGAAATTAGTTTTTCCCGATTCTCAATAACTATTTTAATTTACAATTTTGCTGCTCTGAATCCTCTTCATAATACGAGATCGGTATAGGCAAAATACATTTACCTAAACTTGAATCCCGGAACGATAAAAATTAATCATTATCTTTATAAATATTTTGATATTTATTGGAACAATAATAATAATAATAACGCACACAGTCAACATAGCCCCGCACGAGGGAAACCCTGAGTCGCGGATGCCATGAACATACGCATAGACTACCACATATTAGACCCAAACTCACGAGATAAATAAATCGCACCCCTCATGGAAGAATGGCATAAGTGGAGTTACGTCAAACATGTTATTGCTAAATAAGATACAGAAAAATATAACCCACATCCTCACCAATTCTTGTAACTCTATCGACAATATTAGTCGCTAGAGTTACAAGAATTGGAGAGGATGTGTGTTATATTTTTGTGTATCTAATGGAGCAATAAACATTTTTGGCGTAACTCCACTTATGCCATTCTTCCATGAGGGGCGCGAAATGTAGGCCATACAATTTATTTCTCGCGGACCGGGAATCGAACCTGGGACTTCTGCGAGGCAGTCCAGCGTGGCAACCGTTCGGCCACGGAGGCAATAAAATACTTCCGCTAGCAATGTCATGTCATATGCCATGTGTTTGTTAATCGACTTCAAAAAAGTAGGAAGTTCTCATTCGATTGTATTTTTTGTATGTTTGTTACGCAATTACTCTTACGGCAATTACAATTACGGCGTTTGTAAACCAATTTTGATGATTCCTTTCATATTGGAAAGGAGGTACCTCAGTATTGATCCCGTTTAAATTTGAAGAAAATATTTCACCTCAAAAGGTGGCAAACTAGCGGATGAATCAACACCGGTTCCGGTACTCTCTCCAGTTCAACTTTCCGGTAACCGATTTCAATGAAGCTTAGCAAATAGATATAATTCCACGCACTTTTGAGGTCGGTTTTTTATAAAATTTTGTATTTTTCTCCAAGATGTAGCCAAACGTGTCAAATGTCAGTCACAAAAAGTGACAAACCAAACTGTTTTCCTTTGTAAGTCAATGGGTTTTCCCAAAGATTTCTCTTCTTGTTAATTTAGTTTTCCCACTTCTGTTGTTTTTAGTCAAAATTTGAAAAGATTTTAATGTGAATTAGCATGGATAATTATCAAAGAAAATATATATCTTGACAATTTCGAATGCTGAAAAATCAAAACCAAATTGTGATATTCTTACAATTATACAACTTTTCCTCCTAAATACACTAACGTAACCTACCGCACCTGAAGTAATACATCAACATGTAGAGCGGTACAATAACTCCAGGATTTTATAAAGAGGTGATTCACTCTATGTGTAAAGTGTGTTACTGAGCAATTATTACACAATCTCGAAATTCTTGTCCTAGGTTTATAAAAAAAGTATTTGATTATTGCCGTAAAATTATTATTTATTAGCAATTATACCTCAATTGCTGCTATTGCCCACATAAAATATTGGTTATTCTATTTAAATAAAAAAATAAATTTCAATATATATTATATCTTAGAATAATAACGCATAGAATGAAAGATTCATATCAAACGAACTGTCACAAGTGAGGCAAAAATCAAATTCATGTAGGCTAGTTTTAGTAGTAGGTTAATTTTCGGTTTTAGTAAATATTTATATAAAAATACAAGTTGAAACGCGTTACTTCCTTGTGGAATGTGTTGTTAGTATCAATGTTATGTTTGTCTGACGTATTTTTACACTCATTTACCGCACATTTCGTCATTCTTAGCTAAAATTCTTGAGCTGTTCGCGGTGCAAGTTGACCTTGAGCACTGAAGGCCCGCCCGCTCGTGTAGGCCCATTGGGAGCGCTTGAATTTGCCTCACTTAGCGTGTGTGGACTAGGTTTCTATGCGTTATTATTCTAAGTTCTATTATTCATGTTCCAGCCAAAACAAATCATTTCCTCACATTTTACCTCAATTCGATTTGTGAACGCATTTTTAATCTTTGGTAAATGCATTTGTAACTTTTTTAAGCTTACCTGCACTGAAATGACGAAATTCTACTTGTGTGTGTAAAAAGTTTCTAGTACGAAAAGATTTAATGTAAAATTCTAAAAGTTACACTTCTGACAGTTGTACCCTTACATCGTTTAGAGAGAAGTTAAGCATGTGATTTTATTTATTAATTATACACGATGAGTTATTGGTATTAGTAAGCTTACACAATATATTAAGTCTAAAAGTAAGTCTATGTCGCTATTCATTCTTGATTTTTTGATTTCGTCATTCCTTTACCCTCAAATGTTCTGACTGTCCTGTATATTTTCTTAAATGTTTTATTTTGGGTACCACTTTAACATCAAAAACGATTTACATAAGTACTGTGAAATTTACAAAAAAATAAATACAAATTCTTCCTAATATTTATCATAAACATCGTGAGCACGAATTTCGGAATGAGAACTACCGACTGATTTGAAGCTTAGTAAATATTATGTACTCCAGCTTTTCCAATCTCTATTTATAATAGAAATATAAAAATTTATACACATTTAACCTCCACATCAACTGATGAGAGGTCGACGATGAAGGTGTTAGGTGTGCATGACCTAAATAATATCTATTCACTCTCGTCTTGAAAACGCCCAATTTATAGCGTCTAGGGAATAAGTCTGCAGGCAGGGCATTCCACTCCAAACTCGTTCACCATATAAATGTGGGAAAGATTCCAAATTCAAATTTTTTATTTACCACGCCACAAGCTCGTAACGTTTAGGACGTTAACAATACAAAATATATTATTAGGCTAAGTATTATATCATAGTATAACAAAATGTATTACTTAACTAAGTGCAAAGATTTGGACATACACACAATCAAAATATAAATTTAATAATTATAATGCATTGTCATGAAATAAATCGCTTACTAGCGCTTCACCCACAACTTCTGACGCAGTTGACGCAGTCTTATGTTACTCACTTGTTAATTGTGCAAATTACTACGGAAAATATTACTACGGCTACGCTTTTTTAATATAATGTTTACAAAAACTTATTTACGAGAATTATGGATTTTTTTAACCCTTCAGTGCTTCTTTAGTGCGAATAAACTCACGCTATCTGTCTGCAATGTAAAACCCAGAGTACTGTAGAGTGCCGATATAGTTTGCCATCACAGCAGTCGATAGAAATCTCCTTTGTATATATATATATATATATTTAAAATATAGACCCGTTCGTCTCATCTCGACAACAAGCACATAGAAAAATTCGTGAGGTTCGCTGGCTCGTTCCGTGGCTTAGTTGGTATAGCGTCTGACACGGTATGCTAGAAGACGTCGGTTCGAATCCGGCCGGATCGAAGGAATTTTTTCTGAGTGTTCGATCTTTGTATTGATAATTACAAACAAACTAGTGGAGTAATTTCACAAAATATAATTGAATATCAATTCAATAAAAATGTAAAGTTACAACTAACTGATCAGTTCCAACTGATGTTAGCTAGGAAACACGCAGCGGCTTTTATTATATTATAATATTATTGAGACTCATTAATACAATTTTATTCATTTTCCGCGTCATTCATTATTCATAACTGTCGGTTGACTTTTTTGAACTTTAAACGTAACAATAACTTTATTATGATCGTGCGTGCTTGAAACTTGGCAAGTTAGGCCAGGGATGTACGTTGTTTTGCTTTGAATCGATTATTTGGATCGTATTGGATCATATGCCTCTGAATCGATTCACAAATCAGATTATATGGTTTTGAATCGATCTCGCAAAAATCGTTTAAAAATTAATTTTGAAACTTTTGGAATTTTTGCCCTCACTCGGTTACGACTTTCAATTATATTGTTATTAGCCACTGAAAAAAGATTTTCAGATGGCACAGAAGTAGCATATCGTAGACTTATTGTACTTCTAATATATAATTGATCTATGTGATAATATACAGGTAAGGTATAATAAAAGCTAAAAACTATGGGCCGGGCACTGGTGTCGGACGCCACATGTGCCGACACACTTGCCCCATTCCATCTCCAGCACAGCAGCAATAAAAAGTAATAAGTACCAGGATCTCGAGTCCGACTACCTATTTACAGCCTTTGGAGTCGAAACCCTTGGCCCGTGGGGTCCCAATGCCCTTCACATGTACAGTCTGGACAACCCAAGGGCCGGCAGCTACCTTGCCCAATGCATTAGTATAGCCATTCAAAGGGGGAAAGCTGCCAGCATCTTGGGCACCTTGCCGCGGCAACCCTATTTTATTGATATATCACAAAAAAGAATTGAATATCAAGTCAATAAAAATTTCAAATTACAGCTTGTTTATATCGAGTTCTTAGGTTTTCGCGATTGTTACACATAGGAAATGAAACTATTTTTCCAGATTTAAATCGCGTATATTTGTTTTCTCAAACAAACCGACGTTTCGGGCCCTTTACAGGTCCCATGGTCACGGTTGACTGAGGTGGTACAGTCTTCAACCAGTTATGTCTAATATTAATGCAAACCACCCTATTTTTTCACTATAGTTACAATAGTTATTAATTAAATGCCTTATTTTTAATTTTACACCACCACCAGTTTGGGATCCAGTATTTCCTCTAATGAAAAATCCCAAACAGACATAAGACTGCAGTACTAATTAATATGTTTTAGTTTATTCTAATTTCTATTAATAATTAATAATAAATTAAACTTAATAAAAATTCATTCAATACAATAATTTGTAAAACTTAATGTAGTGTAAATTGGAATGTTTTCTTTGTAAAATTAAAAATAAGGTATTCAAAAGTTCGTGGAATTAGGAACATCTATTTGCCAAGTTTTATTAAAATCGGTTAACGGAAAGTGCGCGAAACCGGATTCATCTCCTAGTTTACCACCCTCAGAGGTGGAATTTTCACATGCCCCTATGCACATAATTAGTTTTTAACTTTAATTAGTCAAAATAACATAAAGACAGCACTTAATCTAAGTTTTTTATTAATTTTAGTTATGTAATTGTACTAACCCTAATAACTAACATAGTTATAAGTTGTTATGTTACTAACCTACTAATTTATATGGATTACTGTGGTCCGAAATAAAAGATTTTTATTTTGTAAGTAATAAGAGCTCGTCCAGGGAAGTACCACCTTACCTCTTTCTGCCGCCAAGCAGTATGAGCATTACAGCGTTTCGGTTTAGAAGGGTAAGTGTGCTGGTGAAATTACAGGCACATAAGACTTGTCAACTTATGCTTCAGGGTGACGAGCGCAGTGGCAGTGCCCCTAAGATTTTTACAATTTAAAGCTCTGAGTGGCACTGCAACTGTTACGGACAGGCTTGTCACTTACCACCAGGTGCACGACTTGTTCGTCCCGTCACTTACACCACTGTACTGGATTATAAGAGCGGCGGCTTCTGACATAAGTGTTTTTATATTTAAAAAAGTTCACAAGTAATGATATATACATATGTAGTATGTAAACTAGATTAAGTTAAGTCAATAAAAAAAAATTACTTTGCAATATTTTATTGAAATTTAAATGGAACCAATACTGAGGTACCCTCAATCCAACAAAAAAGAATCATGAAAATCGATTCACAAATTAAATAACAGTGGAATTGGGAATCTCCTCCTTTTTTAAAGTCATTAAAGTTTAAAGTTATTTAATGAATGACATGAAAATATGTTTACAGTGAATATAAATTCTTGTTAGCGATCTTAATAGTATATAAATAATACTCACAATCGCTTAAAAATCCTGACGAATAACCTTCCACAAATTTGGAACTGTGCATCCCGAGCACACAACTGACAAGAAACATGGAATTTAAAATTAAAATCACAGGTAATTTCATTTTTGTTGTTCTTTTTTTTTGTTTTAATATTTGAAAAATGCACGTTCCATTTATAATTCTTTTTTTTTATTAAGGCACAGTCTACACGCGCCGAATGTCAGTCTCAAAATGTCCACGTTAAGCAAACTTACGTTCTTAAATCTGTGCAAATGTTTGTATGAGGATACACATTATTCTAACCGACGTACATATTACTTATGACAGATTGCTAGCTAAAAATGAACTAATTGTCTTTGACCTTCGTGGCGAACTGTGTAAAGCAAATATAAAAAATTATATATATTTAAATTTACAAATATAGTGTCACTTCAGTTAGTAACCCTAAGGATGGGGTGCTATCCTATAATCCTATCCTATATCGTTAAATTAGGGTGGTCACATGGGTGGTTATGCTTACAAGTGAGGTTTATTTTGGATTTGCATATTATACAGGATGTCCCACAACTATGCCACACGGAGAGAAAGTACTTTAAATACCGTTGTTAGAAAATTTTACTAAAAGAAGACTTAATTTTGATTTTAAAAACAATTCGAACTGCATTCAAAAATTTTTAAATAATCACTTGTCTGAATCGGGAATCGAACCCGCCAAACGTGAATAATTTACTATACTTATCGAAAGACTCCATAAGGATTGTTTTCTTCTAAATAACATAACATCTTAAATATAAGGAAGACCATGAGATATAACATTTAATATTATATAATTATATTAAAAATTCAAATTATGTGTTATTATATAATTGTATAATAACATATAATTTGAAATTTTGTTCAGGAAAATGATTTTTTTTCACATTCGGCGGGTTCGATTCCCAGCTCAGACAGGCAATTATTTAATAATTTTTGAATTCAGTTCGAATTGATTTTAAAATCAAAATGATGTCTTATTTCAGTAAAATTTTCTATCTACGGTATTTAAGGTACTTTTTCTTCGTGTGGCATAGCCGTGGGACACCCTATATATAAATTATTTGTGATTGTAATTAAGTTCCATTTAATAAGTTCCATCATCATCATCATCACCCTATACGCCCCGCTGCTGGGCACCAGTCTCCTCTCAGGCGAGGGTTTAGGCCCTGGTCCGCCACGCTGGCCTAACACGGGTCGGATGCTGCAAACGTTTTCTGAGCGTTGTGAACCTTTTTCAATGTGCAGATGTCATCACGACGTTTTCTACCACCGAAAAGGTCATGGTGAATTTCAAATTAAACTTCGCACATAAATTCCGAGAAATTTAGAGGTGAGATTCGAACCCACGGACTCTGCTAGAGGCGGAAGGTCAAACCATAAGGTTACTAAGTACAAGCTTTTTTGGTTCCATATTTCTTGTCAATTATGTTTTTGAGACGCACAGTTCGATGTCTAGTGAAGGATACTTTTCAGGATTTTAATCGATTGTAAGTTTTATTAATTTACTATTAGGGTTGCTAACAAGTGAAACACGAATTTCTGTTCATTAAGTGTTCTGGGTAGCACCCCAGAGTTGCTCTGATACTCATAGTATATGGAATTCCCTAGTCTAATATGGGTGATTGGTGCGATTATCTGGCACATTATTATTACATAATTTTGAAAATTAGTCTCTTTCCTTGTCTACAAAATTAAATTTCTCATTTGTTACTAATTTTACATTTCCATTGGTCATTTGAAATTAAGGCTGGTTTCACAGCTGTGCGTACGGCCCGTATGGGCTGTCCACATGAGTAGAATCCGCAGTGTTCCGAGTCGAGTATTTAATTTAGTGTGGATATTCACCGAAAACAGAGTTGCTGACAATGAACGGACGAGTGGCTCGCGCGGAGTTCACGCAGAGCGTGTTCTGTACGGAGCAATCCACGTCACTGTGAAACGATGTTCTAACATCACACGTCTTACTCCGCTCCGGTGGTGCTCCGCGCGGACGACGGTCCGCTGATAAATCTGCACTGCTCGGAAATCAGCCTAAGGATCCGCTCAAAAAATGAATTTAATAAGCATAATGATTTTTTTATGACCTTCGTTACGTCTTATAGCAAAAACAAAATTATTAAAAATCGGAAGGCAGAAACGTTGGCAAAAACATTAGCATGGCGGCAAAAATAGGTAAGATGGCAGTATTTCCCTGGACGAACACTTTCAGAGCTCTACTACCTACTACAAAAAAAAACTTGTCCAAGTATCCCCCACGTACAAGTTATATCTAACATCTCCCCGCCCTCGCCTGCCCAGTGTTGCCACAGTAATCATAATAAAAAAAATATGTTATATATTATACTAATGTAACACCACAACTTTAACACGCCATTAATTCCACCGCGCCACCGCTAGATGGCACTAGTTGTACTCTGAAACGCGCTATCATGAGACATATCGGTCCTTACTTACTGCTAAGTTAACGTCGATCGGCACTGAACCTTGTATTTTCACGTCAATGAGACACACTGTTTGGTCCCTAGCCGCATAAACTTTTTGTCTTTTCCCTTTGTATAAATACACAATTTTCTACGCACCCCTTCCGCTGACCAGCGCTACACTAAGTTTTATTCAATATCACGATGTTCTACACGATATTCAATTATTTTTTGTCAAATTACCCTACTACTTTGTAATAATTATCAATATAAAGAACGAACACTAAGAAAAAATCCTTTGATCCGGCTCGATTCGAACCAAAGCCTTCAGCATACCGTACGGACGCTCTTCCAACTGAGCTACAGAATTTAAAAAAAATTAGGAATTTTTCTGTGCTTGTTGCAGATAATTGTTTTTGGTTTTTAACTACTTTTCCGCCACAGCGCCATCTGCGAGAAATCTATGAAAGTTTTTCTTAAAATTACATATTTTAAATGTGAATATGACATATTTTAAAAACGACCTTACCAATCATTGACTTACAATTATATGGACGACGACGGGTCAAATACAAAAACCACGAAAAAAATGTCCCAAGTCAACCTATTTAAACGTAGTGACATGTAAAGGAATATGAAAAAGCTAAAACGTTGAATTTAAATTGTAATGTCATCGCAGTACTGTCTAATTTTGCTTGCTTCGCTGTCAGTCGAACAAACGAAGACTAAAGCGTGAATGGCGCTCTGTATACGATTTTAACGCCCTGTAAGTTCGGACACTTTTTAGCGCGGACCCGACGTCCATATAATTAATTGTAAGTCAATGTTACCAATTAACTGACTGTGAACTGGCAACCGGTGCTATCTCAATTTTGTCAATTTTACAGGATGAAGAAAATATTTTTTTGCGTCATTTCTATAGTCAGTCATCAGGTTAGAGTATTATAAGTTGAATGTCGTCGATTTTGGCGCCAAAATTAAATGTATCTAAGATGAAATTTCTTGCAACGCTGCGGAGTATGGAATAGTATAAAATAATATTAAAAAGTTAAATTATTAGAAAATTTATATAGTACCAGGTGCTAGTTCACAGTCGATATGTCACTTTGTCAAGTTACGTAACGAAGTTACTAACGCCAAAATATTCTTTGTTTATCTTTATTGATCAGAACCACGTACCTGTCATCATATGAGCGCGAATAAACTAACTGATGACATTGAACCGGGTCTGAGTCAAGTGGTATCAAGACATTACAGTCGTGACCTAAGTGAGACCTAAGCGATGGTAGGGCAACCCACAACGTGCTTATTGTGGTTATGCCTACTATACTACTATTTTTTATAATCATCTAAACATAGTGCATTTATAGTAATTAGTTTAAGAGTAGATACAACCTCAAATGGTTTTGGTTGATTCCGCATAATAATGAAAGCGTTGGATCAACCACTTTGGAAAAAACATAATAGAAAATTGAAGATATATACGAATGCGGTGCGTGGTCGGGTTCAGTTTACGGGGTGTGCTCATGCTCTTCGGTGGCACAGCAGTTAGTACTATGGGCGCTTGATGAGATCGATTCCCGATTTGGGCCAAATTAAGAAACGAACATTTCTAAGTTGATTTTGGTCTGAGTATTCTGGATTATCGTTGTTTTGGTATTCATAGTACAGGAAATTCGGCAGTAGTTTGGCATTTTTTCCCCTAAATACTTCTCTTTGGCATAGCTTTCAAGAAAATAGAATCTGACAGATATGGCAGAGTTACAACAACGCTATAATAAGTATCTCATTTTCACTACATCGGGAAGTATGCCTTACATTTTTACAATTGTGAGATCTTGTACTCGTAATCTATTACGCCTCCGTATATAATTACCTCCATACGAAGGCGTGCGGACGCTTCGGGCTTCGCCCTCGGAGGACCTCGGCCTGCGGCCTCGGCACTTAGGACTTTGTTTTAAAAAAATTTAAATATCTCTTTAATGGCGGCCATATTTAAAAATTACAAAAACATATTATGACCACTACTTATTATCAAACAATCTTAGAAATCTTTTCGTGCTAATTTTCAGTCCGAGCTAAGCAAGTTACAGAAATAAATTACGGCTACATCGAAAAACAGCGGAAACAAAATTTTTACCCCAAATTATGATGCCATGTCATTTTCAGTCGAATTAGAAGAAATTTGTATTTATCGCCAAAATAGTTTATATTGTAGCCATAGTGAAAAATGGTGAAAAATAAAATTTTAACCGGTAATTATTATTAAACACTCATACAGGCCCCGACATGTCCATTTTCAATTGAATTAGTGCAAATTTTTATCTGCCGCTAAAAGAGTTTATTTGCGTCCTGTGAATTTCGAACATTTTTTACTTCCCGCGGAAATTGACCAGGGTGTATCTTATAAAAATGTACAAAAATCCCCCTCATGTATTATAGTTTTTGCAGGCCGTTGATCACTCGTTTACATTTTCCACATTCAAATCTCTAAAGAGTGGCTCTTTGTAAGTAGACATTTTATTCACATTTATGATTACGAACGTATTTCAAATATCGCACCTATCATGGAAGAATGGCATGAGTGGAGTTTCGTCAAAAACGTTTATAGGTCCTTTAGGTACAAAACAATATAACCCACATCCTCTCTAATTCTTGTAACTCTAT